GATTGTCACAGAGCAATTTGTTTATATTGTCTGCAGCTTGTCGAGTTGGTACTATATGAGTGGTATCATAAAATTTGTCAAGGGGAATATCAGGATTGATTTTTGATTGGATAATGGTTTTGGACATTTCGGATAGATTTCCAGTTCGTATTTCTTGTAAAACGTTGTAGAATTCCAAGTCATTTCATTGTCGTTGTGGAATGGTTAAGAATAGGGGAAAGAAAGGTGACCAGGCTGGTGATTGAAAAACGTGTTTTGGGCGAATTGGGGGTAGTTGGGCTAAGTCGCCGACGATTAGTATTGGTATAGCCCCGAAGATGAAATTGTTGTTATATATTTTGGCAAATATGTCACTAATGAATGTGAAAAGGTCGCCATCTACCATTGATATTTCATCAATTATTATGGCTTGAATTTCTTTTAGTTCTGATTCGTCATTGGGGTTAAGGTATATTAAGGTCTCGTAGTGGTCGTCGATTAGTCTAATTTTAAGGGTGGAATGGATTGTTTTACCACCAATAGATTGTGCGGCGACGCCAGTGGGGGCCATTAATAGGTATTTTTTATTTTTGGATTGTAGATAAGAAATTACTTGACTTACAGTATCATAAATGATTTTCCAGTTCCTGCTGGACCTGTTAAAAAGAAGTAAGGATATTTTTCGTTGCTAGACTTTCCCCAAACGTTGGATAATGTACTGTAGATATTATATTGATTAGTATCTAGTGTTAATGAAGATTGGGAGTTTGTTTGTGGAGGATGTTTTTCTAAGGAGAGAAATTGGGTGAATATAAAATCTGATAAATCTTGGTTTTGGAATTCTGTTAAAAGCGATCTTATAACTAATTCATAGGCATTTGATAGGTTATTTCTTTCTTCTAGATGACTTCTCCGTAGCGAGTCAATTGCCTGTTGGTATCTGATAGGAAATAAGGATTGAAAGTGATCTCTGTATGTGAGATGGCCTCCTAATAATTCTTGTTCTGATCTTGTTGGAATTTTCATTAGGAGGTGTTGGAAAAAAAAAGGTTCACCATCTTCAACTTTATATGTTGTGAACCTTAGAAGAATGGGCGATTTACGTTGGGTAACTATTCTATTCTTGCGATCGCGGATATAAAAAAGTCTTGAACGTTGGCCGGGTTGTTTGGAGTTTATAACGTAATTTTTAAAATATTCGGGGTAAGTAATGGAATGAAAATTTTCGTGATCAGGACGATCAAAATATTTATCAATTGCGTCGTCCCAATAGGGAGTGTCGGCATTATCAGGGTTGTCGTCGTTGTTATCGTCTATTGTGTTTAATAACTTAGTCTTAATTCAGAGGGTGCAGAAGGGAGGTAGTGTACGGAAACGGAACATCTTGTTAGCGGGTATTGGAGTAGGAGTACCATTAATTCCATTGCTCCTAATCGTCGAGCCATGATATGTCGTCTGTAGTCATCATTTTCATCAATGTCAAAAAGTTCTGAGGGTTTGGCTTTGGTTACATATTTTGTTATGTATTTTGCAAATCCGGTGGTTGTAATGTATTGAAAATTTATGTGTCCTCTCCAGATTAATAGGGTTTCAGGGTGGTATAGAATGACCATGCGATCTTCTTCTTTGGTACGACGGTAAATGTAGCGTAATGTGTTAGGTGAACAGTAGGTTATTAGAGACAAAGGTTGAGGAAAACCTTTATAACATAGTTTGCCGTTTGAGTTTGGTCCGCCGCATCTTTGATCGCAATGGTGTATTTGGAATGTTGTGACTAGACGATGTAATTCAGGTTCGGTATTTGGGTCAGGTACATCGGCGCGAATTAAATTAAGGTGAATTAATTCAGGAATTTTTTTTTCAGTGTAGGCGAAACCATGAGTATGTATCGTTCCTCTATTCTGAAATTCATCACGTTCAAAATAGTGTTCCCATTTTCCCCACATGGCTAAATTTTTATTTTTCCATAATTTGTTACGGATGTTATTTAGGTAATTTCGATAAAATAAGTAGACGTGTAATGGGCGATTTGTTGGTAATGTATCATTATTGTCAGTTGTTTCTAAAATTTCTCTTAGTTGTGTTGATTTATCTTCGGCCAAGGTAGTTGTATAAAATATTTGTGGTAGACCATATGCATTTATCATTGTGTTGACTTGTAGTTGTTTTTTTTTTAAAAAAAGGAGAGGCGGTTCTAAGGCTTGAGGGGAGTGTGGTTGTTATTGATTCATTTAAAATGGTTCTGTTATTGTAAGAACTTCTACTAATTAAATTTGCTCTTGTAGGATGATGTTCTCTATTGACATTACGGGTTGATAATATACGATGTTGATTTTGGAAATTTCGTTTTTTTTCTAAGTTTAGATATGACCAATGAGGCCAATACCAATGTAGACGAAATCGAGGATCGGGGCATAACATTTTTAATTTTATGTATTTTCCATAACTTTCTACTGAAGGTTGAAAGTCTAAGAGTTGCCTTATATTTTCGTAATGACCCTTACCATTAGGAAATAGGTCAGGAAATATTAATGCTTCCAAGTCCGGATTATTAAATAAGATGGGAAGGGTAGCGTTATTTATTGATCCAGCTATTAATCGATTATAATGTGAGTCTTCATCATGAATTTCTCGAGGGAATGAATCATTAGGAACGACTAAGTCAGGGGGACGTGGGGTTTCGTCGGGAAGGTTGCTACGATATACATTGGGGAATGATTCTTGAGTATTAATTGATTGTCTTGCTATTGGTAATGGAACAGGTACTGGGGTTTCTGGAGATGGGTGTGTGATATTGATGTTTGAGGCATATTTTTCAATAAGAGCATTATTCTGTTTTAGCCAATTAGAGGCAGGAATTAGAGTTTCATGAAACCAATTTGGAGGTTCATTTGTGTTTAGATAGGCTCCAATAGTTCCGGAATAAACTTCTAACGTGCAATAGTTATGTGAGATATTTATTAATCCTTCTAAGTGACGATAGTGGGTATAGTGATTAGCGCCGGCGGCACGCCCTAATGAGCAGCTCATATGTACGGGAGAAAGGTATCTTCTATGAAACATTGGAACATTTTGGATTTCAAGAGGAACGTCTGCTAATATTGGAGGATAACGGCGAGTATTTTTGTTTTTACATCCGTTGCAAACGGCTACTTGTGTAGTATTTCGATTGGTTTGACGTGTAAATACAGGGATGTTAGGAAAGGCAAGTGTTAAGGTGTATTGTTCATCATTATTGTAAGATATCCATTTTACGGAGGATTTCATCATGAGCATTGAGCAATAGGCGCAAGGGATATTGGGATAGTCGTATAATATTTTTGATTGAAATTCGTTTAATAGACGCAAAAGATTTGCTTGTGGAGTAAAAGGGTTGTAATTAGTTTGGGGTAAGAAGTTTGATTCAGTTAGTGTTATTGTATCATTAGAGGTTGGTGCATTGATTAGGTTTTGATTGATTTCGTTTCTTTGGGTGTAAGGTTCAAAAAGCGTATTGATTTGAGGATCAATATTATTTTCTGAATCGTGTAATCCTTCTGTAAGAGAGGTAAGAAGAGGGAAACGGTTTATTTCATTATTAGACATGATCGGTTGATAAAGGGGAAATATGGAAGAATTTTATGATATAATGTTTTATTAAATTCAATTTATTTTTTGTAGGGATGATTTATTATACACGTAACGGTATTATTATCGTGGAAAAGCAATTTTAATATACGAATATGAACATAAGATAAGTTAACACTGTTAAATTTATTTAAGATATTTATTTGAGGAGTCGAATTTATAGTAGTAACTTTTGGTTTTAAATTTCGTATGACTGATTATTCTATTATTTTGTAGAATTAAGTTTCGAGAAAAATTTTATTAAGGTCAAGAGAAAGGGTTTTTATACGTTTGGTTTTTTAAATTTGATCAGTAATACGGGGAATGATTTGTTTTCTATAAATTACATTCGTCGAAAGCTATTCTAAATAACTTTTTTGTATAACAATACCAAATCCTTTAATGAAAGTAATGCTATGCATCTTTGGATCAATAACTTCTTAAGTCTTCAATGATAGATAATAATATATAGATTTGATAAATAAGTAATAAAATCTTTCGATGTTTTCGGGAAATCAAGAATGTCATTTTTATTAGTCAGTTGCACGCTTTCAATAGTTTACCACGATGATAAGGCACGATTAATAATTTTTTTGAAGACTTTAATTCCTTTTATGTATAGAACTATCCGGTTTTAATCATTAAAATCATTGTATGCATAAGATATTTTCATGCATGCATGGTTTGGGATTTGATTAAGGATTGTACGATACTAAAATAAGTCAGGCTTTGATTTGTTAATTCGGTAATTATTTTGGGACGTAGCTGTATAAAAAATAAAGTTGAGGATAATTATATACGTACTAATTTAAGAAGGAAGTCATTGGAATAAAGGCCCGTTTAGTAAAATATATGTTAAAAGTTTTTATGATACGTATTCATCCACGATTTTCTAGTATATTGTCTATTTATATACAATATTTTGATTATGTTTGAATATTTTAATAAGGTTTGTTTTTGATATTTAAGTTCTGTGGGTTAGTAAAGTTCAAGAATAGTTACAAGTATCGAAGACGATTAGGTTATGAAGTCTCGACACTATATATGATTTAGAGATATTACACAATTGTGTAGTATAAGTTTTAGCGAATCGCATTTTAATAGATTCAAGTCTTAATATGATAGAGTTGTTATACTGATAAACGATATATATATCATGAAATAGAAATTTTTTTTTGTTAACAAATTTTTTTTTATACGTAGTTGAACATTTTTCTAAAAAAAGAAAAATCAGGAAATTTATTTATACGTAAGTGCAAAATTTAATAGTTTTTTATATATTTAAAAAGAAAAAAAACAAAAAAAAGAGTTATTAAATGATATAAATTTGCTTATGAAAACGAAAAGAAATAAATTTGTTTGGTTTTGAAAAGAAAAAATAAAAAATAAATTTGTAGATTAATAGGAAAATCTATTCAAGGGTTAGATGGGCGGTTATTATTTATAATATTATTTTGAAGTCCGGTTCCAGTATTTTTAATTTGACTCACGGCTTGTAAAAAATTATCGTTTAGAGATTTGTTGTTTGGAGGTTTGGAAGTATTATTTTGAGGTTCGTTTTGAGGATCGGTCTTCTGCGTTTTTGAAGGAAGAGGAGTCGGTAAGTTTGTTCGTTGTCTTTTTTTAGAGGGAGAATTTAATTTGGTGTATTTTTCTTCAATGCTTTCGAGATGGTTATTGAGATCATTTTGAGCTTTTGCTTTTCCTTTGTTCGAGTTATCAGAGGTTTGTTCGTTACCGGCATAGTTCCATTCGATGTCTGTAGCTATGATATGAAGCATTTTTTTTGCACCAATTTTTAAACTTCCAATAACTGAAAGAACTGTTTTTTTTAGGTTATCTTTTAGCGCATTATATCTGCCATTTTGATTGGTATAAGATACAATCACTTCGGATTCTATGTTTTTATGACCAGTAACACCATTATATAATTTTTTAGATAGCATTAGGCTTTCTCTACCGAATTCATTATTGGAAAAGTGGGAATTAGGAACGACAGGAGCAGAAAATAGTAATAACGGAGACGTATAGGGTAGGTCATCGGGGGTGATTTCGACGTCATCGGTAGAGGTGGAAATTGGTACAGTTTGTATTAAAGTAAGCTGATATTTTAAAAAAAAAAAAAAAAATTACCATATCGCGGTTGTGGGTTGGGTAGAATTAAGAGGAGATATTTACATATTCGGCGTCTTCGAATACATATCTTCCAATCATTAATGCTATTGAATTTTTTTCTAAATCCGCAATTAAAGAATCTTGGGTTATGAAACCTTTATAAGTTAATTCTCTAAATTCTGGTTCGTTATTGTTTGTTCTGTAAATAGCATTTCCATGAATACATTTTTCACTTGCAGAAATAGTTTTAATAAAACACAGGGCTATGAAAATTGATGACATTTTTTTTTTTTTTTCAGTTAAAGAAGGTTTTTTTTAGTATAAGGAAGAACGAAGATAAATTTTTTGTTTTTTTCAGTATAAAGAAGGAAGATTGAATTTTTTTACTTAGATAAGATGGATTTTATATATGAAACTTCGTATATTTTTATTTTTATTTATTTATTTAGATAACGATAACGATACGAAGAATTAGAAAGAACAGGTTTCGCAATTTATAATTTAATAAGGATAAACTGGTTTCATGATTTTTATATTTTATTTTTTGTTCTCTTTTTGGTCTAGGCTTAACGTGTTTTTAGTTTTAAATTTAGGTAAAGTGTATAAAAAGGGGAATTGCGCATTTGGAGAAATGAGAAAAGATTTGATGATTAGATGACAGGCAAACAAGATTATTTTCTAGGTGTTTTTCAGTTTATGATTGTGATATCTTATTATAGATATTGAGGTTCTATTAATTTTTACAGTACAGCAGTAAATAAGAAGTCGGAATGTGAGTATAACATTACACGATAAATTGATAAAATATCGGAACTTGACGGCTTTGGTGATAGAATAAAGTAAGGTGAGGTTTATAATCTACATGAAAGAAGTGGTATTAAGACGAACAACAGAATCAAAAAGTAATAGTTTTAAAGCAATAAAATTATTCGTTAAGGTTATAGTCGTGCGCGCACATAAATTTATTTGTTGACAGTGTAGAAGATGGGTTCACAGACGAAAGTTTGAGATATGCGCAGAATGTAAATCTCGAACATCTTTAATAATTCTACCAGAGTAATATGTTTTACGGTAGAATTTATTATATAGTTTTATATTCGCGTTTCTAATTTTAATCAAGGCTTTATTGTGAAAAAAATAAAAATTGTAATTGATTGGTTAAATAAAAATAGAGTTTACAGAAGGCAAAAAACTTAATTTGAGGGAATTCAGGTTTAATTGTAATGAAAGTGAAATTTGAAATCGATTCAAGTGATGGAGTAAAAATTGGAGTTTGCGACAATTCAGGTTTAATTTGAAAGCAGAAATCGAATTCTAAATTGTAAAGTTATAACGAGATGCAAAATTCAGGATTAAACTTGATATATATACAAAATCGAATTTAGATATCTCAACACGTAATTGCCAAAACTATTTATTCGATTATTTAACTCGATGTAATTTTCCTTTTCAAGGTTTAGAATTATTAACTGAGATATGTATTCGCATTACGGTTTTCATATTCATCTTTAGATGTAAAAATTTATTCAAATACATTTTGGTGTATTAAGAATTGTATAGACTTGGCGCATATACATTTTATTTGTAGAATAATGTTTTCATAGTAAAATTTGGTGAAGCCTGTAGAAAATTTATAGAATAAAACGAAATTAGAATAAAGAGAATTGTAGATTGAAATAATACTTTGTGTATATAAATTTTGGCCAATAGGAAAAAGGGGTTTAAAAGACGTGTTACTGGAACAGTTTATCTAGTAGAGAAAGATTACATAAAGATAATATTGATATAAAAAAAAGATAGAAGTATTGATATATTAATGAATATAATGAATTTTGAAGATCAGAAAAATGTTTTAATCATGAAATAAAAAGGTGAATTTACGTGATCATTTAAAGAATAAAATAGGAAAGAAGGATATTTTTAGAAAAGTTGTACATGTACTAAGGGAGAAAGAAAAGGGTATATCAGTTACACAGAAATTAATGTATAAATAGGATCATTATTCAGAGCGAAAAGAAGTGGAGCGAGGGGCGCATGATCAAGAGCATGATCAAGAGCATGATCAAGAGCATGATCAAGAGTATGATCAAGAATATGTAATATATACACAACGCAACCAATTTTGTGAAACGCAGAGTTCATCGAAAAGTAATTTTTGTACAACTAACATCGCTAAACAGAGCAAAAAAAAAGCAAAAAAAAGCAAAACACGTAGCACAAATTATAAAGCGTTTTACTGTTGCGTTAAATAAATTAATAATGTATTTGTCTACGTACTAAGAATTTTATTTACCATAATTTGTTTTAGCACGTAAATTATGTGCTGCCCACGCTAAAATATATCAGCTTTTTCACAACATATCAAATTCTAGTAAAATGGTACAATGTTATATAACGGCAACAAGATTGACAAGAAAAATTTTGAATAAACATGCAGAATAAATTAGAAATTCCTTATGAGGCTTATCATTATGCATAATTTGTTTGTAAACAGCTCACAAACACATTACCTGTTACAGGTTTATACGTATGATTATATTATCTGTTAGTTACAATAACAACCTGTTAGTATAAGTAGATGAATTGAATTTGCAGAGAATAAATGGTTTTTCGTATTCTAAAAATAGATTTTCGGCATGAGATGTATTATCGTTATTTAAGCACGTTTTTTGTCAAAAAAATTCTAAAATTTTTCCAGCGAAAAAGGAGTGATAATATATCATAATAAGATGTATATGAAAAGTAATATGACCTTTACATCTTTGAATAATTTTAATGATGTTAGAAGTCGCTGTTGTCATTAGGCACTCCTCCACGATGAAAGGAAATATGCTAGAATGGGACGTAATTGCAATTTTGAGGGGTGCTTGTTTAAGATACATACACACAGGGTGAGTTTTTTCATTGAGTATGTTGAGTTATCGTGTATCTGAAGTTACGCTGTCACTAGGTATAAAATCGAATAGAATTGAAAGCTCTTCGTGGCCAACTGTTTTGGCAGTTGAACGTTCTTCTATTCGTATCCGAAAAGTTGCGTCTATAATATATAGTAAAGCTGGAAGTTGCGCCCCAGGACGAGTGATGAAGAGGATACACGCTAACTATTGAAAGCACTAACCGTAGACTATTCCGGCGTGCATTTCTTTAGTTGTTAATGGCAATGAGACATTTACTCACTTATTTATTATTGATAGGGGACCCTGCGACGGAGGTATTGATATTCGTTCGTGGATTCGCAGAACTGGATTAATTTTCCAGTGTAAAAATATGGATCATATAGGTTTGTTATTAGATGTTATGTTAATATATTAAAGAAAATAACAGATAATAAAGGTTCCTCCGTCGTCCGTGAGCTTAGAGGTGTTATATGTGAAGAACGGTCAGGAACGATCGGTATCCTGGTGGGCTCCCGTGTGGAAAGTTTTTCTAGTAAAGCGATACAAACGGCAGAAGAATCTAGCTATCGAATAATCCTAACCGACCCATACCATCTTCCCATAATTCTCCTAAATCTCGCTATTAATATCCGTTTATGTCGACCTTTCGATTTTTCCTTTTATAACAATCTAAATAACCGTTAATTTCGTCATTCCTTTACCATTAATTTCGTCATTCCTTTACTATTAATTTCGTCATTCCTTTATCATTAATTTCGTAATGTTTATTTTCTTACTCTTGTCATTCCTTCTTAATATATACTTTCCCACTCTTGTCTCCAAATCCACCGAAGTGTGGTACACGGGTTACTTGAGCATTGACCTCCACGTGGTGTAGCTTGGACAACCAACCAACAAATGCTTATTTTTTATTTTTACTTTTGTATATGTAAATTTTAATAATTTTGTATAATTGTTTATATTTAATTATGTACTTTATTTTTTTTTGAATATTAATAAAAGCTAGCCCCAGTGGCTGATTTCAGTGCATACATAATCAGTTTACTTATGCGTGTATAGTTTGTGAATTTATTTATTGTATTGATATCGATGTATATTAACTCGCATATGATCGAGGATTTTTAAAAATTTTCTTGGCAAAAGTGATCGGTGTGACAATTTGTCACGTGCATATATTTTTTTTATTTGAAATTAAAAGCATTAACTATCGAAAAAATATATTTTTCAAAACGTATACAGTAAAATTCTTTTTTCAAATATTATATAAATTAATATCAAACATGCAAACTCAAAGAGGCGAATCTAGAGACTTATCCGAAGTTGACTCATTAAAATTGGAAAATGCTAGGCTTATGAGTAGGATCGCAGAATTAGAACAAATAGTAAAAGAAAAAAATGCGCTTGAGACTGAGTTAAAACAGATTATAGAAGAAAATGCTGAGAAAGCAAAGTTAAGAGATACTAAGCTCAATGCAAGAATCATAGAACTAGAACGGTCAGCAGAAGAAAATGAAGAGCGATTTGCAAAATTGGAGCAAAAGCAAAACAATATTGTAGATAGATTAGAAAATGGAGATAATTCATCTGAAAATGATGTTAATATACCCGACCTTGTTATAAAATCGTTGGAGGATGATACTCCTGCATCTGATATAACTGATAACACTTCAAACTCTGATATATGTCGAGAGACAAATACTCTATACAGAGCATCATCTATTCATACAGAGTCTAAATTGTTAGAAGATAAAGAGATCGAATTTTTGAGTCGGGTATATAAAGAACAGATTAGTGATGAAATAAGAGAAAAGAATCAGGAAAAGAAGCTTAGATCCCAGGATTTGTCTTCGGATAATAATTTATCAGAACAGTCTAATTCATCATATAATATAAAAACTGTTATATTGGAAACGAATCCAAAGGACTCAACTGAGGTAAATAAGGAAGAAACAAAGTCTCGGGGCTACGACTCATCAAATCTAAACGTTCCAGAAATAAGTTCCAAGTCCAAATCACCTACTGATCATCCACTACCTAATCAGAAAATTCCTTATAATCAAAAAGTAGAACGAGGTTTAAGACTCGAGCTATTTATTTGCACCAAAGATAATAACCATAATATTAATAAAGTATTTGATATTTAGATTCCCGAATTTGCTTTAGAATAGATTTTAACGGGATCTGGTAAGGTTATATCGCAAAATATAGTTGATCTATTTAGGGTAGCAATGAAGGTTCGACAGAAGGAAAGTTTGTGCTGGTATTGCTATTATAAAGCATATGAAAATCAAGTTAGTGATGTTAAATCTGTGAATAATACTGATGACCAATCGGCAAGAACGATAGTATATAATGAAATCAAATCACTCCTTCCTGATGTTACTGATGTAAACTTGCGTAAAATAACTTCTAGAGCGAAAAAAGTATATATATTCTATGAAGGAGTAGAAATTGATAAAATTAGTCAAATAACTTACAACACAAGTGCTATTTCAAGTCTAAAGGATATTCAAATTCAAAACCTCATAAACGATTTTCCCAAGTCATCAACAGATATGATCAGTGTGACAAATTGTCACGCACACATAATGGAACTATCTAGTTCAAAAGACGTATCTACTTCTGTCGTTTCAAAAAAAATTCTAGAAACTAGGGTAAGTGAGGGAGTCAAGAAAACATTACCAGAAACATCACCCATATCTCAGATAAGTACATCTAACAAAACCCGACCTCCAATTTTTACTTGTCCCGATGATCCTAAAGAGAAGCAAGCACACATTATCAAAATAGTATTAGATCGCTTTTCACATTTATCATTGAAATACAGCAATGAATATGGCGATTACTTTACTTGTTCATTATCCTGTCCTATATGCAATAAAGATCATAAAAAAGAAAATATAAGAGATAATATAGAGGGTGGGGCAGTGGCGATTATGTCAATACAAAAACTTATCATCTCAAATGTTGAGAGAATTATCAAAATTCAATCCAAATAGTAACCGTAAAAGCATAGGTTAATAAGTAGAACCCATTCACACGATTAGTTAAAGAAAAAATAGGAGCCCACCGAACCCCTCTCTTTATTTAATAAAAATTGTTGCGAACCAACAATATACAAATAAAAAATAAATAATAAATTTTTTTCTGATTATTCATTAAGGATCATAATCATCCTGATCACTACAATCAGTATCACCAGTTGAATACCACATATAACTTTTAAGAGAATTGTTACTCTCATCTCCATATCCGTAGTAATGTGAAATCGGTTCATTATAGATATCATCTAGTTTGAATAGAAAAAGAAACTAAG